AAGCCTGTTGTGTTAGGAAAAATGCTTAAGAGGTACTTACTGATAGAGCTCTAGGTAGAGGCAACTGAACTCTTCTCAAAACCTTTTGTATTTTGTGTTTAGACCTTAATGTGTATTGCGGTTATGAGGGTATCTCAAAGATTCACACATAGTCAAGTCTAAAGCTTTGATCTATGTCTAGAGCTTGTTTTTATTTCCTTGTTTTTTTTATTTAAGATGTCTCTTTTGGGTTCAGAAGACAATTTGAGTAACTCTTGCCTGACTTGCTCTCTTCTTCATAGAATATTATCTGAAATACTTGTACTGAAAGATTCAAGAGAAGTCCTAGTATGCAGATCTGCGATTGATTATTCTGGATAACATTTACCACACATCGTATCAAATATTGCAAGACAAGGAAAACTTTCTATAAAATCGTGAGAGTAGGGGTAGAATAATGCTATGTAAAAAAGGGTAGGGAGCAAGGGGCTTGTGCTTTTTCATTTACGAGCGTAATACTGTTTTCTGCACTTTTTGAAGATCAGATAATCAGGATATCTAAACAGTGAATGACTTCAGTATGACATTACAATTCATATTTCCTGCAGGTTGTTTGGCACAGGGATTTTTCTGCCTTCTGTGGTCAGGAAGCTAGCTTTCAAAAAGCCACCAAACCACTAAATTTAAAAAATGGCTATGCTGTGTTGAATAAATATTGAATACATTCCATTTAGATTTAATAATGTGTATTGAAATTTAATAGGACTATACTTCAGTTCTTTTTGAATGTCTAACAGCAGAGTTATGCTTGTAATATATTAGTACTTGTATTTGCATAAGCCAGGTTAAATCAAGAAACAATTTTCTTGGCTATAAGATAAATAAAATAAATTTTTTATTCATCTTACAGCCAAAAACTTCAGAAACTGCTTAGAAACTTTCTTAAAGCTATAACTAACAATAACAAAAAGAATTACTTTTGCATTGCCTCCTTATCTCTTCTATATCTTTTAGCCAGCAGCTGAAAGATGATCTACTTGTGTTTCTAAACTTTTAGGTGAGGCTTATTCATTCTATTTTTGAATACAAATTTCCAAGATTTTTAGAAAATATGAGGTTGTACCTTTACAGTTTAGGATGGTTTTAGTAGACCACAGGAGCAGAAGGAAGGACATTTATGTGACAAATTTTATGTTTGTAAATATTTTATTGAAAGTTTCCTGCTTTTAAAGCAGGCATGTCCTTCAGGTGCTTTAATCCTTCACGTTTTATCATTTAACTAAGTAGCTCTCTGTTAAGATAGTATTTAACATGTCTGTCTTAATATTTAATAAGTCTATTTTAATAAATCTCTTGACTCAGATACTTTGCCGGATAAAATTGGTAGAATTTTATTGATTTCAATGCAGCTGCACCTTTTAATATCTGAGAAAAAATGTGATGCTTGTACAAATTGGCACAAATCTGTAGTAACAAAAAAGTGTATAATCCAACTTTAATGATATTTATTAGAAAAGTAGTAATGGAAAGCTCATATTTGAAAGGTTAAAACAGGCTATTACAGAGTTCTGCAGGCAAGATCATACGGTATATATGGTCTTACTAGTATGATACTTATTCATGTAATTAAATCTTTCAGTGCCAATAATGAAGAAACATGGAGAGTTCTGTTAAAAGAGTTATCAAGAACCAGCAAATAACTCCAACTACAAGAAAAGCCTAGTCTAATCCTCAGCTAAAAGATAATTATTCCACACTATGTATTTCCCTATTTTATGTCTTAAACATTCCCATATCTGAAGTAAAAGTATTTGAAGACAGTGGTCAGTTATCAATACACTTTTATTTTCAAGTAGTACTGGGTTAGTGAAGTTTCTAAATTTTCTGGTTTTCTTTTTTTAAAAAACAGGGTCTTTTTCATGCTTTGGTCTTTATACAGTGTGTAGTTGTTGGTCTTCATAGAAGCTAGTTAAGATACAGAGATTATAACCAGTTGATCATCTGCTCCAATCTCTTTTCTTTATATAAAACTGATAGTATTACAGAAAAATATTTGCAACATTATTGAGCCACAACTGCGGTGTGTCTAATAAAATAAGGGCCAAGCTGGCTTCCTGTATGGAAACTGGAATCCAGATACTGTGACTGAGATGGGTCAACCACTTTATCAAGCTAGAAGGCTGATGAAAAATATGACTTGGAACAGAGCTGAGCTGAGAAAGTACGATCAACAAGCCAAAATGAGCAGAAAATCAAAGGATAGAGAAAGAATGGGTTTGTAGGCGGGAGGGAAATTCAGAAAGTGCATACTACGAAAGGTAGTCCTGGATCAGAAACAAGGGTTCAGATGGCAGGAATCAGGGCTAAGTAAAGCACAAGCAGGCAGGAGACAGGAACAAGATGCTGGTGTGCGTTTACAGCCAGGAAGCACGCTGAGCTGGCAAAAGCAATTGATCAGGCTTATCTGTCCCTCAATCACAAAGAATCAGGCTGGCAACAAGTAGCTAGCAGAAGAACTTGAATAAATGGCATTAATAGTTAAATATTTGATTATAGCAGTTATTTAATTAATTTATACATATTTGGGGGGTACTTTTCAGGAAAATACGTGTGTCTACAGTTAACAGTCAAAGTAAGGCGTATATTTCTTTAATTACATTATGTTTATTTGTACAGTATCTGTTTTTACTCACGTTATACTAAATACTGAAAGGATTTTAAAAGCTATAATCCAGCAAACAAGAAACAAACCCCTGAGCTCTGCCCCATGGTGAATGTCCAAATCGCCATGTTACATAGTCAAGCGCTCTCTTACTTGCCCAGTTTCTGACAGCACATTTCTCTTCCATGGTGGCCAATGACTCAGCTTCAACTGGGCCAGGGCATAATAGCTTTGTAGCTATGGTCTGATCTTAGGAGCTAGTCTTTCCTCATTTGTCAAATGTAATTTCTTTGTTTGAACTGATGGCCTCAAAGCTGCCTGAACCACTGAAAAAAACACTGTAGTGACTAATATAATAATCAGACTTTCTTCCTTCTGCATTGATCATAGCTGATTGCTCCATAAGGATAGAATATGAGGAGTGGTTTAAAAATATCTGGTACTTCAAGTTCAGTCTTTTTTTCACATCATCTTCACAGACGATATGAAATATACTGAAAAGTCATGCATTTTATCCTACATATTTCACTATGAATGGTGAACCAGAGAAATTTAAATATCTTGAGAACATATTATCTTTACACAGAAAAGCTTTTAAGAGGATAAATTACTACCTTTTTTTCACCAAGTGAAAGATAGCTCATATGCTTACTTAATGTTTTTCAGTTCACAATGACCTTGATATTTTTTTCCCACACATGTGTTAGCTTGTATTAAAATGATGAATAATCTGACAAAAATGTAAGGTTAATGGGCTTGGCTTAAAAAGAGAAATAAGGAGCTGAAGTGTTGTGTTAAATTTTATAAGTACATATAAAGAATTTAATTTAGAACTGATAAGTTCTGTTCTTTGGTCATTTCCCATGGTAGATTTTATTTCTAGCACACTGAGCTGTTACTTCTATTCTTCCTCTTTAAAAGACAGAAATTCAGCTAAGAACCCAGTGAATTTTTATTACTCCAGTATGTGATATCTTTATAGGCCACAAACAGTAAGACAAGAGTGATGAAGAGAAGCTGAGAGGTCAGTAGAGGTTACTAATTTTAGCATAGGACTCTGGAATTTTGCTGATTCAAAGACCTGGAACTAGGCTCCACGTTCAGTGAAGGTCTGTCCTTGTGTTTCTGTTCACAGCAACAGGAAGAGTGTAGATACAAAGTCTGCATGCGATGTATGTTTTGCTGGCATACTATACAGAATCCAGATATCATTTGGCTGAATATAAGTGGAATTCAAAGGCCTGCTTGCCTCCCAGTTATTTCAGTAACATAACTGAAAACAATCCAAAGCATATCCATATTTATTGGAAGTTAATTTCACAAAACACAGCAAGAGTAACAGACATAATGATTCCTCTAAAAATGTAGTTTCTAGCTGTATGTGTCACCAGCTTGTTAGTGCTCCTTGGTTGTTTGCAAACTGATGCTCCAGAAAATTGTATACAGAAATATTGTCCTATGAATACACAGAATGCCTGGGAACCCAATGGAGCTTTTGCAACAGGTATAACTGAAGTTGCACTAATACAACTGATTAAATAATGTAATAAATTAGTATTTTGTAGCTCTATAAACGTTTAGATAAGAAGGCATAAGAAGGCACTCTTACCTTTTGTTATGTTATTTAACATTCTGGGGGGGGTCACATCATTATGAGGGTGTAGGTATAAATGATTGTTAGAGTCAAAGTTCATTTATGTTTATTCATATCGTGAAGCAGCCACATTGTAATGGGATAATTACACAAATTATTGTAAGGGTGAAGGAGTTATCTTCAGACTACTTGTTGAAGCAACAAGCTTCAAAACAGCTCGTTAATGTAATTTCAGTGTAGATGTATGTTTGGCCACTCTTTAACTAGATCTAAGGGTGAGCTTAGCTTACAGAGATCTAAAGCTGGATCTCTGAAGAGAATAAGAAATGCCCTACTGGGCCAGGCCAGAGGTCCATGTAGCCTGGTATCCTCTCTGAAGAAGAGGCACAGGAGGCTATTTAGCAAGACCACATGCATCTGGCCAGTTACTATGATCCTTTCTCATATATTCTCAGCACCCATAGGCCATTCATTTAGTTAGGTTGAAGGATACATCCCTGCTTTTTTGCGTTTGTAGACCGGGTATCCATGGCTGCTAGCGCGTGAGTAAGCTAAGTGTTTTTTACCTTGTCTAATCAGTGGGTGATACTTGGTGGTTGCTATGTGCTTTAGATAAGTAGGAGATTGCTGAGGCTGCTCTGAATGTAGTAATTATTTTGTGCTGGGACAGAAAAAAGAATGTAAACTGTTTCACAGGACAGCTGTGTTGAGACCAAAGAAGCTATTCTGCTGGAATAAGGGGGTAAGGGAAGGAGAGGAAGGGACATGGGTAAGGGATGGCAGGAAACAATAATAACAAACATCAAGCCTGTCACAAGCAGAACACGTTGTGTAAGCGTGCTCTAAAAGAGTTGAATGCTTAGGCTCGTCGTTTGACTACAAAGTTAGATGAAGGACTTTCCTGTAAAAATCTTTCATTAAAATAACCCTTAGCTTGAGCTGGAACCTGGAAATGTATTTTAACCCTGAGATTTTAGACTTCCATGAAACTCCACATAAAACCTAACACACATAAAACCTAACTACTGAAAAGTTTGCAAGAAATTAATGACCAACTCTTACATACGAGAAATTGGTAAGGAATAACCTGTTGCATCAATACTTTGACTTCCTCTCTAATTTTTCCTTTATATTCCAAAACCTAATGCTTCCTCAGCAGAAGTAAAGGAAAAATTTGTCTGGACAATTTCTGTGAAACATATATTCTAAGCAGAATGTTATGAGCCCATCACTTCATGAAATGGAATAACCCACATGCTGTGTTTTAAATATATTGCTTCAGTCACAAAGAGGTGTCTTCCCAACATAATTTTGACAGTCACATATATCCAGTGCACCTGAGTTCTTAGAGACAATGACATATATATCCATACAAAGTCTTTAGTTTATATAGACTAAACATGAATGCACAGACTGAAAATTCTAATTGTGGGATATCATTGTCTTTCACATGTCTATTTGTGTTGACTGAAAAATGCTGTATTGCATTTGAGAAAAAGAACCTGATACTATATCTGAATATTACCATACCAAAAAATGCAGAGGAGTATTCGTCTCTCAGCATTTGACAAGCAGGTGCTGAAAGAAGGAAACTCAAATAAAATTAACCACTTTTCTGTCTTTTCAATTTAATGAAATTTGCAAGCTCTTAGATCAAGCTATTAGTTTCAATTTGTCCACTAACTCATGTGCAGAAAGGAAAATTTTTGGACAGTTAAAACAACCTCGTCAATTAGAAGTTTAATGAATTAAGGTGAACTCAGAGGCACTCTTAACTGGCATCTGTTGCTAAAGAAGTAACTACATTTCTCAAAGTTGCAAGTGTCACTAATTAGTACTCTATTAGGACTAATTTAATTTGTTGATTTAAGACCCAACTGTGACCTCCAGAAGTTGCATAGCAAGTCCCTAAGCAAAACTTTTAATTCTTTTGTTGCAGAAGTTGAGTAGGTAAATGAAACTAGCTACGTTTATGTGAGATTGCTTTGATTTTTCCTAAAACATACCATTTAATCATATTCATTCCTCAAAATGTTTGATGGCAGGCATCGTAAATACTGTGTGTTATAGTGCTTTAAAACATGTGCTTGTTATTTTTAGAATTCTTTGCTAATCCTGATGTTGTATGCTTCCTGCAGATGTAAATGAGTGTGAAGCTGAACCATGCAAGAATGGTGGAATTTGTACAGATCTTGTTGCCAACTATTCCTGTGAATGTCCGGGTGAATTTATGGGAAGAAACTGCCAACACAGTAAGAATCACAATGTTTTTACAGCTCTTTTTTTTTTTTTTTTTTTTTTTTACAGTTTATGTTTTCTTTTGTAGAAACAACTACACAATATGTAGAAATATTTCTGTAGTCTACAATAAATGATGCTTAAAATAGCCATGATATTCTTTTCAAGATGAAGGAAATTTAAGATATCAAATCTATCAGGCATTTAAGTAAATTGATACGGTTTTCTGATATGGTGCTAATATGGAAACATTTGATATGCAAAATGATTAGCTAGGATGGAGATGAAAAGGACTAAATAGTGTAAAGTAGAATAATGTAAAAGCTGATTCAGGCTAAGGGTTCGTCTAGCCAAGTGTCCTGTCCTCAACAGTAGTCATAAGCAGATGCCAGCGAGTATAAGAACAGGCCAAGAATATATGATACTTTCCCTGAGCTTTCTCCAAGCTCTGACTATTTTGAGCTCAAGGGAGTTCCTGAGCCTGATATGTTTTGTTTTAGTTTCATTTATTTATTTAGTACCTCAAAAAAGACTCTCTTGCAGTCCAAGTGCTTGTCCAATCTCCTTTGAACTCATGTAAACTTTTCTTATTTGCAATACCCTCTGGCTGGGAATACCAGCAGGTTATTTACCCAGTGTGTGGAAGTAAAACAACTTTTACTTTGATCCTGGTTCGTACTAGCCGTCCTTTGATGGTCCTGCATGAAAGAACTGGTGGCCAAGTGAGGGACTGGCCTAATGGGAGGACAAAAACAGCCAGATGGAAAGTGGACTCCTGGGAGAAATCTTATATGGTTTTGCTAATTACTTTGATTATGAGTGGACTGTAAAGATCTAATTTCCGTAGTAAGAAAACACTGTAAATACAGAGGAGTCCTTCACATGTGAAAGACTGGGTAATCTTGAAGATCGGAATAACAAAAGTAGAATAAAATGCTATGGTACAAAGTGCAAGGTATCTGAACTTAAAAGTTAATATATAAGATTATTAGCTCATGAATTTGAAATAACATGGAGAAGAAAGGCTATATGATTTAGTCTATCCAAAGATGATTTGTCAGTTGCTAATATGATGCAGTTGTGAAAAAGGCTGGTGTAGTACCAAGATATGTCAGGCGTGGTACCTCGTGGGGAAAAAGGAAAGTATTTGTGCTACTATACCAAATACCACATTCAAAATATCTGAAACTGTGTAGCCATCCACCTTCAAAACAGGCGATTTCAAATAAGAGCAGGTTCAGGAAGATCTAACCAGTGTAGCAGGAAAACCTAGACTGTGTTGCAAGTAGAATATTAAATAAATCATGTAGTGGTTAGCAAACTAACGAAGGTGAAGAATATGATTTATTTTTCTGTGTTCACATTGTGGATGCATGGGGAAGCGGAAAAGAAAATGTGGATCAACAACCACAAATGAAAGGCTAGGAATTTTTTCAAGTAGCTTCAGTGAGTTCCCTGATTTACAGCAGGCAAACAAACAGAGGCATCCAACATAAAGTGTACAAAATGCTAGAGAGAAGTCGTAGGTTAAAATTGGAGTTGAGAGCTTTTACCGACCTAGATGCCTACCTTACAGAATTTGTATGCTGTACTTAGACAGTTACTAAACTTGACTCAAGCACTTTATGGCGCAAAAAGATAAACATCTATTACAGTTTTATCTAAAAGTTGCTGATGGATTATTTTATCTACTTCATTTATTAAGGGCAATTGAAATGCCATTTGGAATTCTGCTGGGAAACACGTCCGTCTCTTTAAGGTTTATCCCTTCTGATTTTTGGATGATACAAAATTACAGAGGAATCATTATTAAAATTGCTCAGGTTATACATCATATGAGACCAATTTGCTCTTTCGCTAAAAATGGATACTCGGAGCTATAGAAAGTATAAATTTCCAGTGTATTGAACTAGCGAAAGAATTCTGCTAGTGTCAGTAAAGCATTATTGAATTGCAAAACACTTTGCCTGTAGCCTGTCTTGTAGGAGTCACAGTGGGAGGCTTTATACTGGTAAGCCAGTCACCCAATTAAGTGATCTTACCTATTTTCAACAGAAATGCTTCCATAGATAAGCGCTCACAAGTGTCACCCAGGACTCCGTCATCTAGCCCATAGAGAAAAAAAACCATGTTTGGAAGGATAATTCTCTTGGGTGTCAATGAATTTTTACAATTATAGTAAGTGTAAGATCTTAAACAGCAGTTGAATTGCTTTGGTATAGATATTGCTGCTTTTACATGCAGGTAACAGGGACGGTGATTTTTAAATGTGCTAGACAGTAACTGTTAATTTGTTAGCTCCAGGGTGTGTATGGCTTGGTAATTGAGTGGGCATGGCAGTACTACAGTGTAGTAGTAAAAGGACTGTGTTCCTTCCTTTCTCTGGGTAAAGGACATGTCGATTTCCACCTACCAGGTATCTGAAGGAGATGGAAGGAATGTAAAGTCAGATGTGCTATAAAGAATTCAGAAAAAAGTAATATATTACTTACATCAGTAATTATAAAATACTGCAAAATGCAGGTGTTTGAATACTTCAGTTATACCCCTCTGTACTCATACTATTCAGGAAAGTATATGAAGAGCTATAAACAAGTAACAGATAATTAAGGATGAAAATAAGGTTTGTACTGACTGTAGATCGTTATTGAATTACCCCTGTGCTGGAACCTCATCGCATTCTTCTAGCGCTTTAGCACAGTTCACAGACTTCTCACATTCACTACTTTTGAGCTAGCTTTAACACAAGCGATGTTAAAATGTTAACTCTCCTTCTTATACCAATGTATTATTGTGTGCTATACAAGCTCCTGTAGCTGAGGTTGTGCATGCCCATTTTTTTCATGAGAAATTTTATGTCATTACACCTAATTATGTAATTACATGTAGTAATTACACATTCTAATTACAACATTAGAGTATTACATATCTTTACAGTAATCATATAATTAAATACTGTTACACTAATTATGTAAACGACAGATTGCTATCTCAGAATTACCTCACAGAGCTCAAGGATTGCTAGTCCACATCGCAAAGTGTGTGAAATATCCTGGATAGAAAAGAGAAAAGACAAATTACATCATGCAGTCCATTTTTCTGTCATTGCAAGTCTGTTCTCTAGGATGCATTTTCTAATATTATATGTAGATTGATATATCCCAAATAATGATGCTTTGTAATATTGACTTGTCATGTTACTCATCAGCTTAAAGTAGTTTGATATCAGGGAGTTTTTCCTAATGTTCAGACTAAATTTTCTTTCTTTCTTTCTTTCCTTCTCTCTCTCTCTCTCTTTTTTAAACCACCCCATTTCTCTTGGCTAGTCTCCTAAATAATTCCTTTCACTTTTGTCTCATGTTTAGCACTTTCCAGATTTGTGAAAATGGTTATATTTTACCCAGATTCTGCAAGTTTGGTGAAACACCCACCCCCAATCCTCCTTACTCATCCCAAGAGCCTCTTCTAGTAACTAGTGCAGCTGAAGCGGGAGGGAAGGGCTTATAGGCTTGTCTGGAACTGAATACTGAGAGGTTTCTTACCCCTCAACTCCTTTTCGTGGTATGATTAGTTATAAAGAGTAGAGAGAACCTTTCAGGATTCACACAGTCGTAACATTAAAATGGCTCATGACCTTGGAAGAGTAAACCATGTTTGAACCACTATGACTATCACTGTGTCTCGTTCTCAAGTGGATGAGGTTTGGAGTTGCTTTCTGAGGGCTCAACCATGGCGTTCTCAGAAGATAAGGAAGGAGATGGGGCCAGCTGATCTCCAGTTGATGTGACTCCAGTTGATGTGACTCACACTCCAACAATGCTCCTGCTCCTTTTGGACCTTCTTATGTTTTATTTATATACCTTTCTTGTTTTGAAGCACTGGCCTATCATCTCAGTTTTTTCAGGATAGATTTAAATTCAGTTTTCTTCCTTTCTTATTAGATACTGTTATCTGTACCAATGCAGGGATTACTGATACTAAAATCAGCTGTTTCTCGTTGCTGCACAGCATGAGATGAGGCAAAGTCAAAGTAATGTGAAGTACAAAAGCACTGATGACTTTCAAAAATACTCAGTTGTTCTGGAGTAAGCTTATCAACCTTTCAGAGATTCTTCAGTGAGCATCTGGTATTTACAAATTTGTCTGCAGATATTTAATAACCACAGGATAGAGAGAGAGAGCGTGCCTTTTCCCATCCCATGAAAATAAAAACTAAGCTATATTGTTTGTATATTACTTTGCAGATTCCTTAAGTCCTCAGTGTTTCTTTGCAGGAGATGAAAATCCTACTGTTCTTGCACTCTCTAAAACTATTTCTTGCTTTTGTGCTGAATTCAAGCTATCAGTGATGATTGCCTCCATTACAGCTTTACTCAGTCTTACAGTCTCCATAAATAAGTACTAGTTCCAACACAGATTCTCCTGAGATTGAAGTCTTTTACTTTCTGGATCACAAAATTCTCTTGCAGGCAACAGGGAGACGCTTTCCTTCATGTTTAACTGTTTTCATTATTCTGTACAAATCTGTATTGTTAAAATCTCCCACGAGCAACATAGATTGCGAATTGCAATAATTTGCGAGTAGTTCCACAGGTATTTTTTGTTCACTTTTTCTTCAGCAAGTGGTAGTCTGCAGTGGCCACAATACAATTTCACCATTATGCTTGTGGAGCTGTAGCTTGCTGATAGCGCTAAGTGTTGCTTCCATTAAAGCTTATAGCAAATTTTGTTTTGTTTTTTCTTTGAAGAGATGGTTACAGAATAATTACAGTGACTAATTTTACATATGCTGCAGCCTCTTAAACTCCTTTTCTCCATATTTCACATACCCATAGGTTGTAAGACTACGTTTAGTGCAAGTGTATCACTGTGATTTGTCTAGCGTATCACAAGTCCTGCTAACCACTGTACCTTCACATTATTTTTGTTTGTTTCTTGTGCAGTATATTTTAGTACGCTAGCATATATTTATACTGCACTTGGTCATCTTCTACCTTCCTGTCTGTGGAAATTA